CTTCTGAGTGTTTCTATCGTAGGCCACTCTACCAACTTCATCCTGGACATCCTCGTTCCGTCCGCCATTCCCGAGGCGCATTGGGTACAACGTGGGGTGGCCATGCTCTCCCAGCTCGACGACTGAGGCCGATATCATACCGCCACATTCATGTTTCCGGGTGCGTGCCCTATTTGGTGGATGACACAGTGATCGACCTCAAGCCTCAAAGCTAGCAACTGAGCTTACATCAGGAGGGCGGCGGTGGTGAACTACCTCTGGACATCACGCACCACTACCCCACTACCCTTGAGTCGCGACATAGGATCAACTTGCATGGTGAATCACCCGTTTCGGCCAATCAGCTGCCCAAGGGCTCTCGGGCCATCACTTCGTCACATCGAAATTTATGATCGATCATCAAAGCCACTTGTTTTACAAGCCAGAGATCAAGACTGGTCGATTGAGCCAAGCGAACTCCCTTCCGGTGCTAGACTCCAAACAGCACCAGGGCGACCCCGAGGCGGCGTAGGCCGCTCCATTGGGGCCGTAGGGGCCGGGGGGGGGGGGGCTAAAAGGAACGCAAAACCCCGGGGAACTCGGATGGCTCCTGCGGCGCGGCACGCAGTCAGGCCACGGCACGCGGCGCCTGGCCTCGTTGTCCGCGGAGTCGGGGTCGTAGCTCCCTGTCCGAGTCGACCCCTCCCAGTGGCAGGGAGTCCCCGGTCTGGTGCCACCCCAGGCTGGATCGCCAGTCTTTGGAGGCTATTACCATCTCCAAGTGTCATCAGGTCCTGGACAGACCTTACCTCTGAACGCAGGTGATCGCCCTCCAACGTTCAGCGTCGAATACTTCACATAGACCGTTTATAGGACCATAGGCTCAGTCTACTGAGCCTACTGCCCCCTGACTGGCCTTTCCCCCCGAGGTGGCTCCCCCCCTTTTTTTCTTTCCTATCCCAAAGTACTGAGATCCTCCCTCCCTGGTGCTAACGCCAGTAGGTCAGTCCACGTAACTCTCGCAGCTGCCCCTGCGAGTGGATGATGATAGATGGTCAAACTCACTAACTCGTTACCGGAAACATATTGTACGGCCGTAAATGCAATTATATGCCGTATCCATAGCTAGGCACCGCCGCCAAATTCGGCGGCGATTTGGTGTTTCCACACTTCAAGAAAAAAAAGAGAAGAAAAAAATCGGCGCCGAAGTTATTCGGCCGAGTTTTGAACAGTGTCTCCTACGTTTGGATCTCTATTGCAGCATCGTGCATGGTTGAGTATAGAAATTCGCACTTACATCCCCGGAGTCGCGTGAGATCATTAGCTTCGTTGTCGTGCGCAGGACAGTATTCAAGAGAAATGTGCGGCGTAGTCGGTGTCAAAAGAGATCATTGGCTCTGTGCCGCTTCTCTTTGTATCAGCCTTTCCCTCGGCTATGTAGCAGCATTATTTGTCGGTCGAACAACAATCAAGTCTCTTGTGGTCGAGAGCCCACCCCCGACAGAGCGCTCGCCAATTTCTGATGTGTTCCGAGTTCCAGTAGACGGTAATTTTCATGAAATTCTCGATGAGCGACCACACATTGTCTTCGTACTAGCCGACGATCTTGGGTATAACGATGTTGGTTATGGGAGCCTTGACCTTCATGCCTGTACGCCAAATCTCGATGCCATGTGGCGTGATGGTGTGGAGTTGACGAGCCTATATGCAGCGCCTACTTGTACGCCATCGCGTGCCGCCCTACTCACAGCTCGGTATCCAACTACACTGGGGATGCAGCATTGGCAGCTCGAAGCGGCAGCACCGTACGGCCTCGATTCGAGCACTGCAACGCTAGGCGAGGTCTTCCAGCGTCAGGGATATGCGACGGTGTTTGTGGGCAAGTGGCATCTTGGGCATTTCTCTGAAGCAGTCCTGCCGACGCGCCGTGGCTTTGAGAAATTTTATGGCTTTTACACGGGCGGAGAAAATTATTTCACGCGCGTTTCAGAGGGAGCGTGTGCACCTGTAGTAAACACATCTGTTCCACAAGTCTCCGAGGTTGGAGACATTGCCAAGGAGTGCTTTTGGGACGCAATCGACAACGAAGCACATGAAGATCTGCCTGCACCTGAAGAGTTACATGGCAAGAGTCACTCAACCTATGCTTTCGCCATGCGTGCCTCTGACCTGGTTGCCCGCCATGGAAGTTTTTCAGGAGGTGGCCTCGCCCAACCTATCCTCCTTGTCCTTGCTCTGCCCAACCCCCACGTCCCGCTTCTCGCACCAGCAGCTGTATTCAGAACACATGACGCTATACTTCGCCAGATCACCAATAATCAACGGCGCACGTTTGCTGCCCTAACTATCCTGTGGGACGAAGCTCTCGGGAATGTGTCAGCCGCCTGTAACACACATCTGCCTGCACGTCCAATACTCTGGGTGATACTTCGGATAATGTGCTTGCGGTGAATGGAGGTGGGAGCAACTGGCCTTTGCGGGGTGGTAAAAAATATCCTATATGAAGGTGGTGTCAAGTTCGTGGTCTTGTATACTCAGCATCAAATATACTCATCCCGAGGGCACGACGCGGAGCATCGTACGATGGTCTCATGCATCTCGTTGACCTGCTTCCAACGCTATTACTTGGAGTGCTTGCTGCGAGTGATGATGCAGGTCACGGTCTCGTCGACATCGACGGTATTGATCATTGGACTTGCCTTCGTGATGGTCTTGGAAACGAGCCACGTGATGAAGTCCTTCTCAACATCGACTACCTGGACGCTGATCTTGAGTATCTTGGCTATCTCAGAGCTGCGATTATATCCTGCACAGGAACACATTCAAGTGGAGACTCGTTGGTAATCAATTCGGACGCCTCCTCGCTGCCTGATTTGCCTTTGACTGGAACTACGACATGTTTTAAGGGCCTTTATAATGTCGAGGAGGTAGTTGCCATATATATCCCGAGCTCCTACTGAATGGAATATCAGGTATTCTGGTACGCAACGCCGCAAGATCCATACACGACTATACTGCTGAAACCCAATCAGTTCGCTGCTATTATCGGCGTCCGACCGTGCTCCCCCCCCCTCGAATTGAATATCGAATTGTGAAGGTATCCGCCCTTTACAATCTCACTGCCGACCCCACTGAACGTGACGACGTTTCGGATGAACATCCTGATGTTTTCCAGGCACTCCACAGGCGTGTGATAACAAAGTACTGGGCTGGGATGGCTCGTGCCAGAGTTGTGGCGATAGATGATGCTGCCTTCACTGCATGGCGGAAAAATGGCAATTACGTTGGTCCCTGGACCAAGTCGAGCAAGCTGAGCTTCTGTAGTACCATGACCAGGTCTAGGCAGCTATATGAGGCAGAAATTGGCCTCGGAAACTGTTCCCTTCCACCATAAGGCCGGGAGTTAAGGCGGCAGTTGGGGGCTGTAAATTGACTTGGTAAGTTTCGAGCGCGGGTAGTTTCGGAGCTGCCCCTCAACTGCCAGGGTGCTTGCCCAAGGAGCCGCGCGCCCGGGCGGGCAGCGCGGTCCTTTTACGCGCGCGGACAACGCGCCCGCGGAAGGGGCCCAGCCCACGAGGATACCAGCCGTTACCAAATGCAATTTTCCCTATATCTATTATATTCCAGGTAATATTTCTCTTGACCTCCTCAGGCTCCCTCCCTTTGACCTGGGACTTATAGTCCCGCCTTCTTTAGCCCAGTGAGGGCGCCCCCGGGCGCCAAGCTAGATAGGTAGCCTAACTACATAAACCCCCAAGGGCCTGCCAAGGGCACGGGAAGGGATCCTGGGGTGGCCCTGTACCAGCGAGTGGCATCTTTCGCCGGCGGGATATGCTAAACGCCGCATCAACTTAGGCTTCAAATTCAAAATAAACATTCTCTCTATCTCTCTACTTACGCCCGTTCTAGGCCCCGGCTTGGACAGCAGCGAATCCCGGCCCTGAGCGCTGGCGGTCAGGACAGAAACAAATCCGGGCATAGATCGAAGCTGCATGTAATTCTGCTATCTGTTACATCAATCGTGCTGGTACGCAAAGGAACAGCCGTCGAGAGAAAAATCAACGCCATTGAAAGTCACCTCGACAACCACCCTTAATTGATCTTGCACAGTATCATCGACACCCCCATCGAGTTCATTTCCTCGCTGCCCCTGTGGTGATGCATGATGCTCGTGATGTTCGCCGGCCTCTGTCGATAGCTTGGGTGTGGTGAACTTGACTACACCACTACTACACACAGCGTCAACATGGGTGTATTCCGTTTCACCCGATTCGACTCCAGTGTATGCCAGCTGCACCTTCAGAGAATCTGAATTAAAAAAATGCGCGCCGTAGACGCTAACTTCCATCCCTGGTTTCACAACAGGAGCATCTTCCCCAGTGTCCCCACTCACGTTGAGATAATGGACCCTTGGTGTTGCATAGTAAGTGAAATTTGTTTTGCACATTTGACTGAAATTTTCGCCGTCTAACGCAAGGTACAGGCCCATTTCAGCGTGTCTAATGGCAGGAGCATCTTGCACCAGGCTTGAATGGGAGACATTTGCATCAAGCTCTTGTCTATCTGACTCAATTGCCATGTTGCTATTTTCTGTGGTCGTGTCGAGCACGATACTATTCATGCAAGAATGTTGAGATATTGAATTTGATTCTAAATCAAAACCTGGGGTGAGGAATGTTACCCCTAGTTCGTATTTGTCTCCTTCGTCATTGGAAAGCAGCTCTCGATTTATATGGGTAATGACTGGCCCAAGGTGAGCGAAATTGCCCTTCGGCTCTAATTTCACTATAGCAGACTCATAATTTGGCCAGGCGGACAATTCATTGGGTGCGAACCACGACGGAAGCCGGAAGAGTAAGCGCGATCCTCCTGCCGATGGGCCGGATGTAGGGCCTATGGTTTGTGTTTCTTCCGGATGAAGACTCCCGTATAGTAAGAAAGGTAAGGTGCAATCAAGAAAGTCTGTACCATTCAGAGATAACTGCACTTTGCAGAACCACGCTTTTTTTTCGAGTAAATTTGGTCCTGGGTTTACGTCTTCATCCGTAACATCACCGTCGCTCTCGCTGGACAATTTAGGTCCGTTTTTTATTGCAACAAGTTCCATGAGAGAGGGTGGAATGAACGTGATGGCATCCCGACTTAAGTAGTTTGCATCGCAGCGGCAAATTATCTCTTCTCTATCAAGTTCGACTCGTAGCCTCACTAGCATTTTGCTTGAATCGAAAAAGGATTGGCCCTGTATTTTTACGACACGGGAAAGCAAGTTTTTGGCGCTATCTTCGGGAGACACTACCGACTGGCGACAATCAGGGACTAAGCCGGTCAAAGCTGCATCGTGGATGACGAAAACAACTTTATGCAAATTTATGAAATCATGGCCATTTAGAGCCACAGACACGCGTGTTTCAACAGGAAACTCGCCAGCATCAACTCGAGGACTCATGCAGGTGATGGTGCCATCGCCGTTCATTCGCGGCTGCGGTTCTATGTCTATATGATGCACACTGAGGCTGGCGTGGGGAGAAAACGAGGCAGGTGCCATCCACTCTCGTCCAGAGTTACCCCGTTCTTTGAATCGCACTTTGATTAAGCCAGATTCAAAAAGGTGCGTTCCCGAGACTGCTAAATTAGTAGTGGAAACGCAGTTACAGCAGACTGGTTCGATTGTATCAAGCACAGGTTCCTGATAGAGAGTCACTCGCACTCGATTGCGAGTAAAATCCTTGCCGTTCATCGCCACCTCGACAAACGCATCGCAGGGAACAGAAAAGCGGGGAAGTTTGCACAAGACACCAGGCTTATCATCGCTACTAGCAAATTCGGCTCCCGGTGGAATATATTTTCCTACAGAGGACCGTGGCAGATTCGAGTGCATGTCCGCACCAAAGCACCCATCGTTTCTCACAGGAATAAATTTCACAACACAGTCGCTCGAATCCCAAAATCCCCCCCCGCGCAGAATCAATTTTGCGCCGCCCGATATGGGTAGCAGCGGTGGTTCCACGAGACTGACAGAAGACGGTACAAAAGCAAACCCGCCGTCCTCTGTGAGTGCAATGCTCGAAATGACTCTACCACGCATTCCTTGTACTGCTCGTGGATATTCCACGGGCGCAATCTCCATAGATTCGTTCTCCTCAGCTTGTACCGGGCCGTGACCCAGCCTAGCTGACTCTCCGGACCCCCAACAGAAGAGCATACCATCCTCATCGCGAAGTGCAGCAGATGAATTTGCGGCTGTCTCGATCAATTTCACGCGGCCTGGAAAAAGTGATACTGGTACAGGTTTGAGTAACATGTCAGAGTTGCATTTGTTCGACCCGCGCTCGTCTTGGAAATCAAAATTTTGCACACTACATTTAAGCCCGAGGCCGAGCTGTCCAAAGCGGTTGAAACCCCACCTACGATTAGTGTTTGTAATCTTTAGAAGGATCAAGATTATATATATACGACGGGATTTACGCATACAACGCTCCAGCGGTATCAGTGGCGAGTACATGTGCCCAGCCACACGATATGTTGCAGCAGGAGCTCGCGTCATTAGGCCAGCAAACACGCGTTGGGGTGCGTTGTGATGCCGTACATTTACCGATCCCTAATTCCCCACATCGTCCTTCACCCCATGCCCATGGTACACCTGCAGCTGTCACGACGATGGTGAAATTCTGACCGCAGGCGACTAGCATTGCTGGATCTCGCGTGCTTAATTGGGATGCAAGGGAGACTACGAGCTTTGGCAACAGGTGTATGCCCAGGCCTTGAGTCTCTAGATCATCAACCTGCGGAGTAATTTTGTACAACATTCGACGATGCACGGATTTAACCAACCGTTGATGTGTCGTTGTTGAGAGGTGCATGCCCTGTTTGGCCTTCAAATCCGCGGCCCCAAGTGTAAACATCGCCAACGGCTGTAACAACGGCCGAATGACGTGACCCACAGCCAAGCGATACAACTTTACGCCCTTGAAGAGAGTTCACTGGCACCCAGTCATACAATGCTCTTTTGACACGATGGGTTGCGCCAAGCCCAAGTTGTCCACTATCGCCTAGGAATATTGCATCGTGTTTCTGACTTATGCAAGCTATAAATATGAGACTAGCAGAGGCGATTACATGATCCGCGAGCCCACACCAGACCTTGTGAATCAAGTGCTAATGTGTGCGCTTTGCCAAAAGCGACCTCGCATATGTCACTGAGCTCGAATCTGCCCGGATCAACTCCATTCAACGGTAGCAAGCGACCCTAGTGAAAGCAATGAATAGACGATATTACTGGAGGAGAATACCTCACTAAGGAGGCAAGCGCTGCGGTGATTGCCACGCAAATCACTGATTTTGTAGTTTTTGAAACTGCATAATTGCTTAATACTACCGTTTGTGAAGCGCCCCCAAGCAAAAAGTTCGCCGATCTGATTCGAATGTTCTTGATGAAACAAACTTTAATGAACGCGCCTCTCCCATTCACCGATACGCTATTCGAGCTTCTAACGCTTCGCGACGCAAGTCGGACAGGATACAGGAAGCATTTACCTACATGTAGCCTGAGTATCCGTGAAGATTATTATTATTGGGGATTTAGCGTCGGAGAAGACTGTATATAGAGAGATAGAGTGGTCCCTACCCTTATCTTAGTGATCTGCACCTTGATCATGCAGCGCACTTTACCCCACTGTGCGCCTATCGCTTATCCTGCTAGTATCTAGGAAGTTGGACGACGCCGGTCCGCGGTGGACGCGGCGAAGATCCAGATGCATTTTCTGTCGGTAGGTGGGAGTAGCGGAGTGAGCCTTCGGGCTGACTTCGTGTTGGGTGGAGCCCATGTTGAAGGCAACACCCAGCTCCTAATCCAACTATATCATTCTATATCTTGTATCATTCCTCAATATGTGCAGGTGATATAGCCGCCAGGATATATCAGCCAGGATATTCAGGATACAGAGGAGAGAGACAGAAGATATAACTCGTACTCGAGTACGAGTATCGTCTGTCGCTGACATCCTCTACTATTATTGTGCGCCTGAGCGCACCCCAGGAAAATCTTCTCCTATCCAGCCGGCCCCATTCTTTTCCTGGGGGTTCTAGACTAGGCTAGTCCCCGAGCTGGGTGGAGCCCATGTTGAAGGCAACACCCAGCTCCTAATCCAACTATATCATTCTATATCTTGTATCATTCCTTAATATTCCGCAATTTAACCTGCGCGGCATGTCAAATCTGTGCTGTTTTATGCACGACGAGGAACCTGTGCCAAAAACTAGCGACCCACCATGTTGGCCACCGCTGGCACCTCCCACTCGCACCAAACATGACGGGCTCAATCTCATTTGCGGCTACTTGAAACGCCAATCTAAGGGCGGTGAAAATGTAAAATGGGCCTTGAGGTGGATGGCGGTAGAGCCCCCGGAGGATGATCGCCCCGAATATATGGTACGATAAATAACTTATTTGACACTCACCATGCAGTTACGCAGCTTTCAGTATATAAGACTGATCAAATGAAGAAAAGGTTGAATGCTGTCAGCCTGCGCAGGATTACTGACGTGACTCTGTCGGAAACTCCGTGTGTCTTCACTGTCAGCGTAGGCGAGAACAGCTACACGCTGCTTGCTCGCGATCGTTGCGACGCTGAGCACTGGGTGGTGACGTTAAATGAGACTCGGCAGTGCATCAGAGACGGTCAAAGTCGGGGTTGCACGTTGAGTTAGCGCAAAAATACACCACTCTAAGGATTACTAAGGCGCTTAGACGACAAATGCCTACATCGAAGATTCCACGGCCTACATCGAAGATTCCACGGCCACGACCTGCGGCTGGATTGGCGTCGCGGTCTAGGCATGGATTTAAGCAGCGTGTGTGAGTAAACTTTGGCATGCTGCGGCGGGACAATCGACTAAGAAAGCTAACCGAGCTTAGCGTAGAGTTTGCATTGTGGTTTATTAAGCCTGTGCCCCTTGCGGTGTCTTTAGATAGCCCACAGCGGGCGACGTGGGATGTACTTCATATTCAGATTCGCTGGTACTAGTGGCGACATCCCCCTTGCGAATTCAGGCTACAGCGGAAATACTCCTAGCTGGATCTCTACTATACTAACATTATTTATGTCTCGCCGGGTGCTTCTGCTACTACGCTTATCTTGCTACAGTACTATGCCAGCGGCCGGAGGCTTTACTCAGGCGCCGGGGCGCCGGGCGGGGCCCGAACTAGGACGCGTCGAATTTCCCGCGTTCACCTGGATCTGGCCTAGCAGCTTCATGCTGCAAGACAAACAATCTGGAAGAGGTGGTCTCACTTTCCTGATCTCCGCTGCTTTGCTGGCGCTGGACTCAGCGGTGCGCAGAAACTGTTCGGCTATCTTTGTGTCACGCGGGCTCATGGGTGGTGCGCTTGTTCAGGAGTTCCCTGTGGCCCAAGCCGAGGACACAGCCATCCACGCTTGGGAGTCCGACGTGTACGTGGAGGTTGTCGTGATTAGCAGTGAGCTTGAGCACCTGCCCCCTGTGAACACCAAGCTGGATGGGGAGGTATCGGAGGGTCTGGTCCCAAGCAACGAGGTTTGGATTGTTTGGAGATGTAGAGAACTTTGGCGCCCCCGCATAGAGATCAAGATCAAAAAACAAACACACACAGGTGAGGGTGCCAGTTTGCATGACAGTTATTTCGCGGGCCACCTCCGCGGCAGTAATGTTCTCCTCGAAAGAGGCGGAGTAGAAGTCGAAGTCAAACAGCTTAACGGGCGTGGACAATTTTTTGTGAGCGTGGCGTTGTAGCATTATTGACTTCGCGGGAGCTGCTGTTCCGGCAGAAGCGTCGGTATAGAAGACCTCTAGATCGGTTCGATCGAAGCCATATAATGGAGTGGGAGGGACCTTGTATTCGATTAGAATCGCGTAAAGAGCTGCGGCGCGGGGAATGATAACACCACCGGGCTTTAGGAGGCGCGTACGTGCATCTTGGGTTGTGGGTACCACACCCTCACCAAGAAGCCCGTTGTCGAGAATTTCTGAGACAAGAATGTCAACCTTCCTCAGGAGGAATGCCTGCCGTTGGAATGGAGCGTCGCGGCGGGTTTCAGCAAGAGAACGGCGAGTCGTGGTGGTGTTTGAGACAGATATGTCATTGGACTTGCGTGCAAGGACACGAACTACATCTCCAAAGCCATTTGCGGCTATTATTGTCGCCGATGCCTCTGCGAGTGCAGGGACCATCTCCACGCTCGTGACGCTCGTTGCGCCAGCTCGTGCTGCCATCATTGCAAGTAGACCGCTGCCGGCACCGATGTCAAGAACATCACAGGTGCTCTGGGTTTCAAGAATTCGATTGATGGCCAATTTCAGAGCGCAGTTGTAGCATGCGTTCCGTTGCTCATCTGCAATCATAGGCCAGTGGTATGGAAGTAGCGGTCTTGTCGCAAAGGTCAAATTCCCAATCAGATTGAGCGCAAGGGTCGGCTTCCGGAGCATGCTGCAACCGAGCTCGCCGGTTGGAGGCACAATAGCCGCCTCAAGGTCTATCAGCACCTTCGAATGATCAAGGACAAGTATAAGTTCGAGGATGTCTCCGGCTTCCACAAGTCGCGGGGTCCTGAGATATCGCACCGTCTGCTTGAGAGCACGGTCAACCTGTTCACAGTTCTGTAACCACGGCCGTAGAACACCATCCCTACAAAATGGTTTCAGATTTCGAGACACGTCTACGGGTCCGAAGCCTGTTGATACACTCTCAGAGAAGACAATTCTATGCCAACCAACAACGGCTGTCAGCGAACCAGCACGATGCGCCGTGCGCCTTGACACGATTCGATTCGCAGGTGGTGCCTTTGACGAGTCTCCCAGGAGCGCAACCCCAGAAACTTCACTAACAAAAATGGAGGTTGATGCACTAAGGAGAGCATGGTGAGCATCTGCCCCGAGCTCATCGATGAGATCATAAGTAGCCCGATGCGCATCGCGAAAACGATCGAAAAGCTGAAGGTCCAGCCCATTGAACGCCTTTGAACTTTTCGTGCTTAACTCAGCCGCGGCGACTTTGTAGATGACGCGTCGTGGTAGAAATACGCCACTCTTGGGTCGGAGCCATTGGTGCTCATACGCGGCCATAGCAAGCTCGGTGAGCCCCCCGTCTGCCTTGTTAGCATCGAAAAATTCGGTCACAACAACATCAAAGCCCGCTCCACGCTTCGACTTGAGGCTAAGAGACGTATACGGGGCACCTCCTGCCGCTGTGGCGATTTCAACCCGGTCTTCCATATTATTTGCTGCAATTATTCGCTTCGCCACCTCTGCGTGACGCCGCACACGCTCAATCCATACAACCTTTGCTCCCGCCACCGCTGCTACAAGTGCCGCAACACCTGCGTGCAGACCGAGGACGAGCACCCGAGGCTCTTCGCATTTGGTAGTTCCGTTCGAAAAGAGATCAAGTTTGAATCCATTCTGCTTCAATTTCCCCTCTACGCGCTGTAGACGCTGCGTATATGCTCGCATAGCCAATCGCACGGCTTCCGTGATGCCCGTTTCGAATGAACGCACCCAGCTTACGTCGCGTGCTCGAGGCTCCGTGAAGTCGAACCAAAGGCGTGCACTCAACGAATGCACTACAGGAAATAGTCTGGTTTCCAACCGCTCTTCGGCTGTCGATCCGCCAAGGGCCAACGCAGACTCAAATCGTTCCCAGCCCTCAAAGTCGGCTTCCTGAGTATCGTCTGTGTCGCCGGATCCACGACGCCGTCCACTCGGCAATGTTCCTCGCATGCCCAACTCTCGCTGTTGTTCCGTCGCGTCTCGTGTTGGCGCGTAAAGCCGAGCCAGCTGTTCATCCACTGTAAGCTTTTTAGCAAGCTTGCGAGAGTTGTGGTATGATGGTTTCGGTTGTGTCAGTGTCCATATTTCAATCTCCAGAAATCCATCACGTATATTGCGCGCGAAGGATGGTGCCGATTCCACCACCGATGCCACACTCGCGCATCCATCCACGCAGGATCCATCCGCCCACTCCAGAGTTGCGTCGGCGAGCAGCGCCCCGCCCAGAGCCTTCTCCGCCAATACTCTGAGCGCTCGCGACTCCCAATTGCGTAGAACTCTACATTTAATGCAGCGCTCTTCCATTCGGAGAAGTAACGTCACCGACCCCATAAGGTCCTAAATTAATAATAATAAACAAGCGTAGTATGGAATGGTATGATGGAAATCGTTGATCATGAATATGCCAAAGTCTAAGTTCATGACATCATGCTTTCTCGAAGTCGTCCATATTGTTTCCAGCGTACATATGAGGATGTTGATTCCACCATGCATATCCGTGTGTATTGGTTCCATCTCGCTTTCTGGGTAATATTAAGCATTGGTTCCATCATACATATTCGCCAATATTGTTTCCAGCATGCATATGGAGGTATTGATTCCATCATGCATATTCGCGGGTATTGGTTCCAGCAAGGCGCATTGTTCCAGCATACATATGAAGATGTTGATTCCACCATGCCGTATCTTTTCTCCTTTTTTCTTATCTCACATCTAGCGAGGGCTGCCTTGGTGTTATCCAGGCTGAGAGTCCGCGCTAGTGCCCCTAGACTACCCGGGGAGATCAGAGGTAATATCTACTTAGTTCTACAGTTGAAGGGCCTTACGATCCTTTGACAGGAAGCCGTACTTCAGGTTTGACGCGCGCGCGGCGTTCGACGTGTCCATGGTCACGGGATAGTGCGTCTGAAAGCCGGGAACGCCCTCTCTTCGGAACTGTGCGCCGTGACCATGGACACCCTCGCGTTCGTTTTCTATGCGGGCGCAAAGTCGCTACTTTTCGGGTGCTCTCCCAGCACGCCTTCGAGGTGCTCGCAGCGCACTGCGCCCTCCTTTCGGCCGCCGGAGACGTTCGACGAACGCTATTATGATGTGCGAATGCGCGCTGATGCGCGCAGAGGTCTGGTTCGAGGCTGGAGAGCGCATACGGACCCGTCGGGCGCTCACGCCGTAAACGAGAGCGTTTTTTGCGAGCGCGCACCGCGACATAGTTCTGGCCCCGGACGATGGGCGGGATGTCCCCGAGCATGTACCCTACACGTGACGGGCCGCCGAAGGCGTCAGAGCGGTGCAGCGATGCGATCTGGACGCAACAGAGCTGGTTTCAGCCCGGAAGTGGTGCGTTTTGGTGCTGCAAGGACTCATTCGCGTCGCCCGATCACCGTCGCTGCACTTCGCTGGAC